TCATGGAACTGGTTTCTTAAAACCTATTAAAAAAAAGACCCTCAGGAGCGAGCAGTACAAAAGAGAATTTTAGAGTCTTGTCTGCTCCCTTCTGCTGAAAGGTGCAAATCGACCCCACCAAGCTCATTTTTATGCAGGATAATGCTCCCTGTCACAAATCAAAATTGATGAAGGAATACTTTGATGAGAAGCAGGTGAGTGTTATGACATGGCTGCCCCAATCTCCTGACCTCAACCCCATAGAAAACTTATGGAGCATTATAAAGTACAGGCTCTCGAGAAAGCAGTTGAGCAACAAAGAGGATTTGATTATGAATTTCATATCCGAATGGAATTCAATGCTTGGAGATGAGATTTGCCAGAACCTAATCAAGTCAAGGCTAAAAAGGGTTGAAAAGGTTATTCAAAATAAAGGAAGACCCATAGATTATCAAATATTTCGAACTATATTACCTATTATAAATAAATTATACCTCTATTATTCTTTATTTAAAGCTGTTCGGTTATGTCTCTATTGATTACTAGTTGCAGGCAATAAGTGAGTCACTTTTTTTTGTACAGAGTTTTTCCCTAAATCTCATTTATATCCAAAATTATAATTATCAATAGAATACCTTAGGGTGAGTAAACTTATTTACTAGGTGGTCGGGAAGGGTATTTATATTAGTAAGATTAAAAATTAGTTTGACCCTAAAAACAATAGGAAAAAAAATTTTTAAGTAAAAAAAAAAAATCAGGTGAGTCACTTTTATCGAACATCACTGTAAATATATATATATATATATATATATATATAAATATATATATATATATATATATAGTGATGTATATAATGGTACCAAATTTGAAAAAATAGCTAAACAAATTTCATCCAATGTTCGTGGTTGTTTTTTCTATCTGCTGAAGTTCGGATTATTTTTCAAACTCGGCCTATAAATGTTTTTGTGTGTAAAGTATTCCCTCCCCACCAAATTAATTCAATTATTTACAAATACGTTTGTAGTTGCGGAAATGACTACATGGGAGAACAACTCAACGCTTAGACATGGGAATAAAACAACACGTTAAGATAAAAATTAGAAATCACATTTTGCCTTTTAATGGACTCGTCAGATGAATACCTATGGTTCAAAATATGCAAACACCTATAAAAGAACAAAGATTTTTGCAAATGAAAAATTTAGTGTTGACTGGTTCAGTCTGAAGTCGGACGTCCGGCTGACTGGCTGATCAGTTGATCGGTTGAACTCTCTGCCTTCAAAATAAAACCCGAACGAGTCTACAAAATTTTATTGTACATTTTTCTGTGTTAATTTTAAAAATCTCGTTGAAGCCTGAAGAAAAAAGCGATGAATTTTTGATTCGATTTTTAATATGTCTAAATAAATATTAAGTTTTATACTTCTATTTCGATCATTAAATTTTGTACCTACAAAAATATCTTTAAATATCTGAAAATCAGGTACAGTCATAGTTTAATTTGTAAATTCAATAAAATATTACAGATTAAGGCTACCTACAAAAATATCTTTATATATATATATATATATATATATACCGTTTAGTAATCATCAACTATTTTCTGGATTTTTAAGATAGCAACATCTGCGTTGTTCGTTGTGATAAATGCCTTTTAGTGTTTCTGTGGCGTTTTTCCCTAATTTGGTGAATTTCATTGTATTGTGGAGGATGGATTGTAACTTCTGGTTATACTCCTGTCGGATGAGAACCACATAATTATAGGTTTTATTGGCACATCTTTTAACGATATTACAAATCAACACACAGAAATTCATCATTAAAAAAACAACATCCTTGATTATGGCTATAGAACAATTATAACTATGGTTTGGATTTCTATGAACGATGCTTGAAAGAAAGATTGATCTCCAAATACGCATTATATATATATATATATATATATATATATATATATATATATATATATATATATATTATCCCTGCCCCCCTATATAGCGTATTGATCTTTCTATGTTTTTTTTTATTACTCGCTTGTTTTTTGTCGTTGGACTAAAATCTTAAGGACAATTTATTTCACCCTGTTGGGATCTTTCTAGTTCTTTCTTTAGTCGGAGATTCTAACCATTAAGCCGTCGGCGCACGGTTGAGATGAAGGTGGATTTTAGCGTATTTTTATTTTTCGAAACACGCCCAGTGACCGACAGTGACTCAATTCGCATTTGCGAAGAGTCTCGCTATATATAGCTATAATAGTCACTGTGACTACTATATATAGTGATGTTCGGTAAAAGTGACTCACCTGATTTTTTCTTACTTAAAAATATTTCGCCTATTGTTTTTGAGGTCAAACTAAATTTTAATCTTACTAATATAAAGACCCCTTCCCTACCATGTAGTAAATAAGTTTACTCACCCTAAGGTATTCTATTGATAATTATAATTTTGGATATAAATGAGATTTAGGGAAAATTTATATCTTTTTTTTCCTTGATTACCAATTTTTTTGATAGACTTACAAGTTGTGCTATCCGAATTCAATCCGAGTATTACTAGTAGTTTAAATATATATATATATATATATATATATATATATATATATATATATTAGAGAGAGAGAGAGAGAGGTTTTAACTTTTAACTTATCGCCATTTTATTCAATTATTAATTTTTTGAGCAATTTTTTTTGTTTTTTAACTTGTCGAAATATCACAATATATATTAGGATCTGTTGGGCAGCATCTGATAGTAAAAGACCGCCATAGCGCAATTCATTCCACCAGAAATTTGGAAACAGCATGTTGTACTGCTTGGTATTCGCCCTTGGTATTACAAACACTTTAGAGTGACTGGGTGTCAATGTGAAGATAGAGTAGAGAGTTCAAAAAGAGTTGGATGAGTCTAATGATGATTACGAATGTTTTTGGAGTAATCACTAGTGATGGCGACGTTATGCCTCCATTCATCTTCCTACAGGTCTTCAAAATCAAAATAACATTTAAAAGAATCTATCAAAACTCAACATAAAAGTTGTTACTATACAACCAAAACAATAAAAGACTTTGTCAAAACAAAAGAAAACAATAAGCTAAAACCTGAAGGAGCAGTTTACTCCATTGCCTGTAATAATTGTCACAAAAAATACCCAGGGAAAACTCACGGAATCTAAATAAAATATTATATGAACACAAAAGAGACATTTTACAAAATAATACGTCGGTTGCCACCGTAACGAGACTGACCACAATTTTGACATAAAAATGCTACTCTGATTAAAGGAGAAATAATTCACTACGGCATAAATATCTCAAGAGGTCTTTAAGCACAGTAAATTTACGCCCTCGCTCTTACAAGATTTTACCATTCCTGGCAGATGTGAATAACTACTTATAAAAGTGATGGAAAGAAACTTAAAAAAGATTAAAAAATGAATTCGGCTAAATAAAAAAAAAAAAAATTCTAAAATTCCCAGAACCCCGCTCTGTCTTGCGCATGTAACAAATTTAGCCTGATGGATTCTTGAAGGACGAAACGCCTAACACACACACACACACACACACACACACACACACACACACACACACACACACACACACACATATATATATATATATATATAAATTATTTATTATAATTTTATCATATAGACAAAACCATTTTACTCACTAAAAATATTCAACTTGTAATAAATATGGAAACAAAGATGAGGACAATAGTCCGAATAATGTAAATAGTGTACATAATACCTCATCTAAGAAATATAGACAGATACTAAAGGGCCGAAACGTTGCGATAAATATGGCGACAAATATGAGGACAATAGTCCGAATAATGTAAATGGTGTACACAATAGCTCATCTCAGAAGTATAGACAGATACTGAAGGGCCGAAACGTTGTAATAAATATGGCGACAAAGATGAGGACAATGGTCCGAATAATGTAAATAATGTACATAATACCTCATCTCAGAAATATAGACAGATACTAAAGGGCCGAAACGTTGCGATAAATATGGCGACAAAGATGAAGACAATAGTCCGAATAATGTAAATAGTGTACATAATACCTCATCTCAGAAATATAAACAGATACTGAAGGGCCGAAACTTTGTAAAAAATACGGAAACAAAGATGAGGACAATAGCCCGAATAATTTAAATACTGTATATAATACCTCATCTCAGAAATATAGACAATTACTGAAGGGCCGAAACGTTATAATAAATATGGCGACAAAGATGAGGACAATAGACCGAATAATATAAATAGTGTGCATAATACCTCATCTCGGAAATATAGACAGATACTGTAGAACATGGAACCTATGGACGAAATAAAGGTTTCGAAAATTCCACTCACCTGAAGAGCGCCGAAACGTTGTGAATAGGGCAATGAAGTTGAGGATTAACAGTCCGAACAATGTAAATAATAATCATAATACCTCATCTCAGTGATATAGACAAGACTTGCTGGTATATTCACTATTTATAGCTATTTAGCGGTACCCATCTCCACTTTAAGTATTATGTTACAAGATGACCTCTGTTGCATACACTAGATACAAGTAATTCTCACTAGATCATTTAGAATCAATCTAGGTCCTTCATAACATCTTTATATCAAAAAAGTCAATTCTAGGTCCCTTCAATAACTTTTGAGCATTAAGCATATATAGAGTTTCTCATAATATTTCCAAGTAACATAAAACTTGGAGTACTAGATTACATGATACTATTAGAAAGTGATGAAATCTCTGGATTTTTACGCTTGTTACTGGATAGCGTTCAAAAATGCTAGATGTGTTATTTAATGACATTTTTTAATCATCTCCAATAGCTTAGCGCTTATCAACGCGGGGAATTAGATCTGTTAGCCAAGTTCAAATTTCGCCCGAGGATGTTGTGTCGGAATCTATCGTTTCTTATCCAGCTATGCGTTAAATAAGGCAGATCGGGATCTCAAGGCTTGGCTGGGATCCAATCCAGCAGAAGAAAAAGTGAATTCAAAACCATATGTGGCTTACGGACACATCATGTTGAAACACCGGTTCTCGTACGATCAGTGAAATTAAGCAACGTCGAGCTTGATCAGTACCTAGATGGGTAACCGTTTCGGAATCCCGAGTGCAGTAAGAGTGTTTGTCTATATTTCTGAGATGAGGTATTATGTACACTATTTACATTATTCGGACTATTGTCCTCATCTTTGCTTCAGTATCTGTCTATATTTCTGCGATGAGGTATTATGTACATTATTTACATTATTCGGACTATTGTCCTCATCTTTGTCACCATATTTATTACAATGTTTCGGCCCTTCAGTATCTGTCTATATTTCTGAGATGAGGTATTATGTACATTATTTACATTATTCGGTCTATTGTCCTCATCTTTGCCTCAGTATCTGTCTATATTTCTGAGATGAGGTATTATGTACACTATTTACATTATACGGACTATTGTCCTCATCTTAGCTTCAGTATCTGTCTATATTTCTGAGATGAGCTATTATGTACACTATTTACATTATTCGGACTATTGTCCTCATCTTTGCCTCAGTATCTGTCTACATTTATGAGATGAGGTATTATGTACACTATTTACATTATTCGGACTATTGTCCTCATATTTATCGCCATATTTATTACAACGTTTCGGCCTTTCAGTATCTGTCTATATTTCTGAGATGAGGTATTATGTATACTATTTACATTATATGGACTATTGTCCTCATCTTTGTCGCCATATTTATTACAACGTTTCGGCCGTTGTACGCTCCGGCCTTCTTCAGTATCTGTCTATATTTCTGAGATGCGGTATTATGTACACTATTGAGATTATTCGGACTATTGTTATTATTGGACTTTATTCAATACTTGGTTAAGACGGTAGAGAACTTGGAGACTGGAATTATGAGGAGACATGACACGTGGAACTAGAACAGTCTACGTCAGTGAGCCGGAGCGTAAAACAGCCGAAACGTTGTAATAAATATGGCGAAAAAGATGAGGACAATAGTCTGAATGATGTAAATAGTGTTCCGCAAGAGTGGATGTGCGTTTGGTGTATAGTACAACTGGCTTTAAAAAAGTTGTAAAGGTTGTTAAACCGTAAAAAAACATCATTCAATTCATATTTGTCTATATCTCTAAGATAAAGTATTATGATTACTTGTATTATATATATTATTCGGACTTATCCTCTTCTTCGTTGCCATATTTATAACGTTTCGGTCGTTATACGCTCAGGCCTTCTTCAGGTGACTGGAATTTAGGACCGAACGCTTTATTTCGTCCACCAGGGCAGAGTGTTCTAGTTCCACGTACCATGTCTT